AAACTGGCGCCACTCTAATTGCATCTTTCAATCTAAAGTAATTACTTACCATTTTTGTCACCGTTACAGCACTTATTGTGACTAGACATAACGAATCATTACTATGTCTATGCTCAAATTATATTAACTAGTGATTTATCAGAATTAAAAATGTGCATTGTGTATAGGTAATTCATAGCACACATTCAGATTAATATAATATTTATTGCGCCAAAGACCGCGAAAGACCAATTCCCTTTTTTCATTAATTGGAAAAATATTGTTCCTACTAACTGAATTAAAATATGGAATTGTTTCCTATCTACGAGTATGTAAGTACAACCTAACGAAACTTCACAGAAATTAACAAGTGCTTTCTGTCAAGTAGAGATGGGCCAACTAGCCACCGACTAGTCGGGAAAGACGACTATTCGGCATAACATGCCTATTATAATCGGCAAACAACAATGAAATAAAATTCAGAATAATGCTTGTTTAGAATATTTAAACAGTACCTAGAGTATGTATTTTAAGTTACCTAACAGTCTTAAAGAAAAAAAAAGGTAAAATAATAAGAACTAGGAACTTAGGAATCTGTCAGTTATTCAGATAACACAATGAATATCGCAGACAAAGATATTAAGATACTAGATATGTACTAGATATACTAGAGTATGTATTTTAAGTTAGAGTATGTATTTTAAGTTACCTAACAGTCTTAAAGAAAAAAAAAGGTAAAATAATAAGAACTAGGAACTTAGGAATCTGTCAGTTATTCAGATAACACAATGAATATCGCAGACAAAGATATTAAGATACTAGATATGTACTAGATATACCACGTGCGCTCAAAATGTGTCCCAATCAAGAAGTACTTGAACACCAATCAAGCACTTCTTGATTCACAGTCACGCGCGGGCCGTTGAAAAGTCAAGTTGCCGCAGAGCTCTGTGAAAAAAATGCGAAAACAATACTTATATTATGTAGTGTCGTTTTTACGATGTTTGTTAATTGAACGCATTCGATGCCAATTTTGTAGTTATACTTACTATAAACTGATTGAATAGAAAATATTTGTGATATTTAAATACATGGTCGGTAATATAGCCATCTCTTCTCATCGCGGTTCATAGCTGCTATATTGCTAACAGCGCATTCAAAGTAATAAGGTCTATATTCTTTCGCATATAGCAATAAGTCGTAAAATTTTGCGAGCTTGCATTTCGAACTGCCATAACTCTTTGACGCATGCGTTTCAATTAAGAACTTATGCAGTATGCATTAAAGGTGACTTTAAATGTTTGAATAATGCCTTATATTGTTTTTGACTACGTTATTTAATATCGTTGATCGCACATAATAAAAAAGCAACGTGAAGTATGTATTAATATAGTAAAATTTTAAGTGCATAATTAAATGCAAATTGTGATGTTGGAACGTGAATATTTCGGCTTGATTTGGGAGATTTGTGTCGTGCGTGAGCAAGCCAATTAGTGAAGAAATATTCCGAACACCTTCTTAAGATAGGTATTAGAACGATCGGCATTGCAGAATAGTCGGCCGACTAGTCGGAAATTCGAAAACCGATTAGTCGGCTAGTCGGTTAGTCGGCAAATACTATAGTCGGCCCATCTCTATTAGAAAGGTATCAAAACTTCGAATTCAGAATACAGTAAGTAGATGATTTTGTACTTCGTGTACATAAAAAAATCAACTTACTTAAATAAAAGTCACTTCAGCAATAAAGCTATTTATTTTATCAGTTTACAACACTTACTAATAAAAGGATTAAGCACAAGAGCATTTCGTAAACAGAGGATAATGAAAAACTAGTCTAAGCTGAAAGTAAAATGAAAGCATTGTTTTTGTTGTTTCTTTTTTAATAGTAGATTATGCACCAAGGCGATAAAGCAGTGTCTTACGTCACCGACAGCATATTGGACCCTGAGCCTGACCCTGAGAGTAACGAGGGAGTTATGTAGAGTCCTGAGTGAAGCGAGGGGTCCAATATGCTGCCCATGATGTAAGACAAGCTTTATCCCCAGAGGTGCATACTCTACTTTTCATACCTACTGCGAGGCAATAAAAACCCAGGGCTACATAAATAAAACATTTATTTTGTTAAAAGTTAATATTGATATTGGACACATTTGTCCAGTTATAAGAGGAGGAGGGACAGAGTAATATTTTTATTAGGAGCAGTACTTAAAGATTTAAAAACTTGTGATCTGATCCTCATTTTGGAATGTGAATGTTGGTGAGGCTGCTTGAGGCAGCGAGTTTTCTGACACGTTATTTGATTTCGATGACTGTGGGAGCCAACTGTGTCCAAGGATCAATAATATTCGACGATGTTTTTTGATGAATGTTCTCATTGATACGGCAACTTATTGTATTCTTATTATGTATTGAATTTTCAATGTAGCCCTCCGCTTCTGTATCGGATTTCCAGCCTCCGTGTCGTTTTATCTGGGCTATATCCGCTCCTGAATCTGCCAAAAAAGTAGCTGATGTCCTCTTAAAACAGTGGCCTGTGTAGAGTTCTGCGTTTGGCAATTTTAGGTATGGAGCAATTTCCTTAGGAATAGCACCAATTTTATTTTTGCCAATGACTTGTCTGGTACATTTGCCATTATTATAAGATATGATAAATCTGTTAGTGTTAATGTTAGAAGGGCGTAGAGCTTGATACTTTTCGACAATTCTTACTTGCACTCTACAGACTACGAATGACCGTTCTCTCTTTGTTTTGGTATCTGGCAAGCTTATCAACAATAACTGATCTGAATACTTTTCTATATCTTCGACTTTTATCTTAAGAAGTTCATTTCCATGACAAGCGCCATTCACTCCGAAAATCAAGGCCACCTGTAACAAAAGAAAACATAAGGATTTACATTGTATTTGAAATAAATTTGTGAAATTTTCGCATTTATAATATAAGTGTGAAAAATTCATTAAATATGTAGATATATAGGTACTCACTTTCATGACGAGAAAGATGTGATCTAGTGCTTCATTTAGAAAAGTTTCCATATGTTGGGTTGGAAATACTTTCGACATTTTTGCCCAATGACCTTCCGATTTCCTCTTTAAAAAAGCCAACCATTTGCTGTATGTGTTGATTTGTATATTGTGTTTGATGCTGATTGTAGATCTGAGCATTGAATAAATATACCATAGGCTGCTTGGCTTCCGAATTGATTCTAAGTAATGGAAATAAACCAAAAGGACGGATTCGGTTCGGACACAGCCTTGACTCCTTTTGTTTCTCTCCATGTGTTGAAATCTTCATACACTTTTTCATACTTATTTTCTGATTTTTACTGGTAAGAGATTGTTAATAATCCCTAAAGCGTCTAATTTAATAAGCTCCGGAGTCAAATCTAAAAACTATCGCTCGACATAAAAAATAACGTAGTAGGTACTTATTTTGCTTTCTGAAAATAGCACCAAACACTAGGTTTTGTTTTGAATTTTTTCAATCGCCTTTTTCTTTTGTTATAGGTGGCCAGTTCGATTTTCGAATAAACTCTCTTTGCAATGCCATATTATTATTGAAAGCTCTATGATAGATACTTATCTATTAGGAGTTTTCATACGAATTTTAACGTTCCAAATTCAAATCACTTTAATCTCTTGGGAGTTTCATGCAACATTATCTCCCTTGGGAGTAAATGACTTGCTTTACGTTGAGATTGCGTGGTATATAATCGGACATTGTCGAGCAGGTGGTATGAAAAGCTTTTTTATGTCACGTAGGTATACCGTGATACAGTTTGTTACAACTAAGTGACACTCTCGAGAAAATTACACCAAGAGAGGCACTAAGTTGTAACAAACTAACTTACTAAACTAACTAACACTCTTGTTGTAATATTTTCGTGATAAGTACAGTAGCACTAAGTTGTAACAAACTAAGTTAGTGACACTCTTGTTGTCATTTTTTCGTGATAAGTACAATTTTTACAAGTTAGTTGTTAATGACCGCTTAAACGACTTAGTAACTTTCCACTCAAATTAAAGTACTCAAAGCTGTACTTGAAGGAAAAATGAATAGCTAAGGCTAGTCACTAAAAACGAGTAGGTACTTTTGTTAGGCCTTGCCATTCAGCTGCGCGAAAAGCAAATCATCAGCCTATTAATGTCCCCACTGCTGGGGCACAGGCCTTCCCTATGGATGGAATAGGGAGATTGGGCCAGGACCCACCACGCGGGCCCAGTGTGGATTGGTGGGTGTTAACTACTGCAGATGCAGCTGGGACCAACGGCTTATTTGCCTTCCGAAGCACGGAGGAGGAAAAGCAAATGGAAAGCTATTTTTGCCCGGCCGGCTCAGTACCCCTAGCACGAACCACTATTGAATTCGAATAGTTTGCGAGTGTGAAATGTCAAAATCAAAGTTTGTATGGAAACTTGAACAGCAGCGCCACAAAGTATCTACGTAACGAGAACTAAAAATCAGTACATATTTGACAATGACATTTCGGACTCGCAAACATTACTAATTCGATATTAGTTCGTGCTAAGGGTACAGTAAAAACAGTCGACTGTTTAAACATAATTTTAGAGATGTATCTCTTTTTAAGTAGTCGCTGTCTCGTAGCGTCGGCAGCGATATTGTACTATTTAATTTTCAAAGAAGGAAGAAAATAGATAGGCTTTTTCGAAGATAGGTTATGAAGCCAAAAAAATCAGGGTACTTTGTACTCGAGAACATCGCATTATTTGTTGTTTAAGGAACAAAAATAACAGCAAAAATCTGAAAATAATTTGGACGAAACCCCATTTTTTTCAACCAAATTATTAGCATCAAGATTATACATTTAATTTAACAAGATACGTTTCCTTATATATACCTACCTACCTAAACCACAATCACATAGTACATAACAACTTACTATTATGACAGTGCGGTTGATAATAAATTGAGATACAAATTAACCTCTATTGGTCGAAGCGAACCGTTTAAAAAATAAAAAGCATTCCTTTTTTAAAAACTCCGCTGCTATTGGTCGATCGTCGACGTAAAAAGCTCGACGCCCCTCTATAGCACCTCCCTACCGACCGCGTTTTTTATCTGTGCTCCTTTTTCTTTTTTTATATATTGACATGACAATGAGGCAAACAGCTTATATGTTTTTTTATATAGCTAAGGTACTATGAACAAGAAACCTAATATGAAAACTCATTAGTTAAGAAGTAAGCACAGGTAACTTAATTATAAGTAACTGTCAGCTGTTGTATTATATTTGTTTAAAACAAATGATTAGCTAATCATAAAAAAACCATTTAATGACATACGCAAACAAAACATAAATATCGCATTAGGAGATCGACATAAAAGGCCGCCCAACGATCTCATTTCCCTACATAATAGTATTTTATTGTCTAATAATAACGCCTATGGTTTATTACAATAACAACTATCCGATTTTTTTATTATTAATATTGCATAAACAATAACTTAATAACTGGGTCCCCTCCCCGCGGTAGCTCGCAGCGTATTGGTGCGGATGAAAATAGGCTGTGGGGGTATGAAAGGGATGGACGTATCCCTTGTTAGCGCTCTCCCTCTCACACCAGAAAACTCGTCGCCTTCCAATGTGGAATACATTTATCGATGTTTGGGGCATAAAAATTGACAGATTTTTTTTCAGTTCATTGTGAGAAGCCGTGCCGGCCGGTCACACCGTTTTCGGCGCGCGTACTGAAGGGTTGTCCCAAAAAACACTTGGCACTCTTACGTGTTTCATAAATAAGGCAGTACTTTTGAAGTGTAACTCGTGTGAACTTTGGATGCAAACATTAAATGTGTTGTGTTTTGGAAGTTTAATTCAATCGGTTTTTTTAATTAGTGAGGTGAGTTCAAGCTATTATTTTTTAGCTATTAGATTTTAATCATTTTATTAAGACTATTAGAAGACAGCATCAGCAGATCTAATGAATGTTTATTAAACGTGTGTCATTCTTAAAACAACAAGAAATTAGTATTGTTATTCATCATTATCATTAATCATGTTTGTGTTTTATTATTAATATTTTTTTAATTGAACGGTAATTAAAATTATTTGTATTTTATTATTTTCTTACAAACCCGTGATTAGTTTAAAATTTATTGACCATGTAGTTAGATACCATATAATATGTAGTTTTTTTGTATTATGTTTTTTGGGCAAGCGTTATAGAAAATAATAGGTTTGCTCTACTAGATTCATGAAAGGAGCGAGGATTATTTTAAACCTTAATACCAACTTTCCTACTTTTTGTAAAAAAAAGAGCACCGTTTAACCTTATTAAATAAAACGCGTGCGATATACCTAATTAACTAAATATCAATTTTTCCTCCTTCAAATAACATAGCTTTGTAATTTATACACCATGTGAAGCCGATGTTTATTTTTGTGCCAAAAAATTTTTTTTTATATGAACTATAAAATTATTTTTAGTAATTACTCTATTATGATTACAAACTTAATAAGGTTTACTTGTAATAAAACATAACAATCGGACGTTAGTAAGTAGGTATGTCAATACACACTTTCATGTATACGTGACTGCTGCGTTCCGCATTTTTTTACATTGTTTAGTAATTCTGCGCCGTCAGCGAAAATTTCAATCGTGACCACACATTTGTTTCGTTTATATGTAATAACACTTCGCGAGGAATGCGAGTCAAATTAACAAGGTTTCGATTTGTTTGTTCTCAGAAATGTTGAGCTGCGCGTCGCCCGCCGGCATAACGCCCGCCCCTCATTCCACTCACACTCAGCCCTGGGGCCCCTTACTGCAACCACCAACAGTGGTAAGCACCACCATTTGTTACCCTTAACTTACATCACATCATCTCATCTCATCATCACTAGCCTATTAATGTCCCCAATGCTAGGGCACAGGCCTTCCCTATCTCATGACATCTATCCAAGATATACTACAATAAAACCTTTTTTTTTAGAAATCTGAACCGATGGACGAATCGAGCTTCGCCAAGGAGCAGCACAGCGGCTTCTACTCGGAAGGGTTCCATAGTGCTTCGCCGTCGTCATCCAGCAAGGACTCGAACGGACATTCGCCCCGCAGCGTCGGCAGTTCAGGCGAGCCCCTACCTTTCTACGAAAACATGCCGCTCAAAGCTAAGGCCAACTTGGGTATGCATTTAGACGCATATCGCAGCGGCATGCCGTACAATTTACTCACGCCGCCAGGATTCGAGCCGCGTTCGAACGACGGCCGCGAACCCTCGCCTGGATATGAAACACAGTATTCACCCCGAAATTTGGCTCACCCGGCGCATGTGTCTACACCCTTGGCGCGTGCCGACGCCACACCCCCCAAATCTCCAAGAACACCCTCATCCCCAGATCATGAAAGCGAAAGAAGATCCTTTGATCGCTTTCAGGACTCTGGATTTGATGCCCAAAATAAACAAGATGGCGACGACGGCCGCGATGGATCCGGTCTCGAGGACGACTTCGATGAAGAGCCCGGCCTTCGAGTCCCTGCGGTCAATTCCCACGGAAAAGTGAAAACATTTAAATGCAAACAATGTGAGTTTGTCGCTGTTACTAAACTAAGCTTTTGGGAACACAGCAAAGAGCACATCAAGCCAGAGAAAATGCTTTGTTGCCGCAAATGTCCCTTTGTAACCGAATACAAGCACCATTTGGAGTACCACATGAGGAATCACATGGGCTCCAAACCATTCCAGTGTAGTCAATGCTCATATTCGTGTGTCAACAAATCGATGCTCAATTCACATCTGAAATCACACTCGAACATATATCAGTATCGCTGCGCTGACTGCAACTACGCAACGAAATATTGCCACTCCTTAAAACTGCATCTTCGTAAGTACCAACATAGTCCCGCAATGGTGTTAAACATGGACGGCACGCCCAACCCGCTGCCCATAATCGACGTCTACGGAACGCGGCGTGGTCCAAAACAGAAACCGATCTCTAAAATGTTTGAGCACCAACAGTCGATGAACAACAATAACCTCCCACAACATCCGCCTACACATCCGCTGTTCGGTGGCCACTTCCCCGTGAACTTACCGAATTTGCCTTATTTACCGCCACTTTTACCTCACTCGTTCCTGTTCCCACCGAACAATAACTACGAACCAAAATCGCCTCCGAAACAAGCCGAGCCAATGGAGAAATCTCGGGAGCCGACTCCGCCGCCATCTTTGTTGCAGCAGCGGTTGTCTTACGGTGAGCGGATGGACACAAATATGTCATCACCACCGACGAAATCTCCAGTCAGTCTACCGCGTACTCCCCCCGCAAGGAGTGTGTCTCCCGCGGCGAACAATGACGCCCTGGACCTCACGAACACCAAGAACAGTGATGCTGGGTCACCTCCACCGAATTCGGAACGGTCTACCCCAGCGACGCCTACAACAAGCCTTAAGAACAGGCGGAAAGGTCCGGCGTTCAAGCTGCAGCCAGCGGCATTACGGCTGCAGCATGAAGATGAGAAGCAAAACTCGCGGGTGTCCGAATCGGAATCGGACGAGGAAACTCCATCCACGACCGCATCCAACACCTACAGCTGCCAGTACTGCGACATCACATTTGGAGACCTGACGATGCACACCATCCACATGGGTTTCCATGGTTACAACGACCCGTTCATGTGCAACAAATGCGGCGAGCGCAGTGCTGACCGCGTTGCGTTTTTCATCCATCTCGGACGCGCTCAACACGCCTAGCTGAATTAAAAAAAATTTTTCACCACTAGTCATTGCTTGCTTGTATGTAGGTTTTTTTTTAAATAGCTGTACAATAAATAACTTTTAGGAACTTATTTAAAAGTAGTATATAGGAGTAGTATAGTCAGTTCTAAGCGTTGTAGGCCAAAGAGTCGTGTTTGATCTTGTGAATTAAAATATATGGTACCTAGGTAGTAAAATAAGATATTGTAAATAGATAGATGGATGATGTGTAACTAAATGTAGTATTGTAATTATTTACGTTAGCCCTGTGTTATAGAATGTAATTAGTTTCTAAATTTTATAGATGTTAGAAACGAGTGACCAATGTGTAAACAAGACTGTATCTCTTGATTAAGTACAAAAAGTGGATGCAAAGTTCACTGGCACTGTCTTGTTCTTTTTTTAAGTACCTTAATTACTGATTATTTTAGAATATCGCATTCGAGGTATTATCACTTTGTGAATGATAAAGCTCTAATGACAACCGTACAATTGAATGAATAAGCCAAATAAGCTCGCTTTTTAAACGAACGGTGAAGTTACCTATTAATTATTTACAGATATAACGAGGTTTGTGTAGAGCATAAAAAAATTAGCGAGTAAACTATTGTAACGTATTTTTAGGCGAATCAGAGTGTATTTATAATAATCGCAAAGATTTATATTATTTATTATTATCCTTAATAAGTACGTAGGTATACGTGTGTATTGATTTGTGGATCTGGAATCTGATATAATTTTACTTGCATGTAGTTTTTGTAGAGCCGAGGCTATGATGCTTAGTTACATTTACAATACGGAAATATATTAATTTTCTACATTATAAAGACTTAAACGTTGTTTAGAACTCAACGTTGAATTGTAACAAACTTCTTGGTCTGGACTATGCGTTATCAGGAGTGTGGTTTTGATTAATTTAATTTACATTTTTGTGCTTTGGTTTTTGTTATTTTAATGATGGGGTTTTCGCCTTCTATCCTCAAACTAGATTATAAGGCTAATTTGTATTATGAATTGCTAGATTGGGGATATGCACTTTTTGTTAAATCGGTACCATTAATTGAAATCGCACTTCTTGTGATGTTTTGTTTTTCCATACTGTTGATAAACTTGTTTGAATAAACTTGTAATCTCAATTATGTTAAATTTATATTTTAAATTATTGTACCTAACTCAATTCAAGTTTGGAATGAGTCATGACAAAGAATCTATGTGCTGGATACACAAATAGAAAAATACAAAAATTATCTCACTAACTTTTATATTTTCTTTAAATCCTCTTATTTATCGAATCCCTCCCTTTAAAATCTAAAAGAAATTAACTTACCAAAGGTTAACTATTGATTATGAAATTAAAGTGTACGAGGCTTTTTGTAAACCTTTTGAAAGTGTAAGTTTTAATTGCAGTGCACATCATTTTCCATGCTAAGATAATAAAATAAAGTAGCACGAAATAGGCAAATAATATTCTTTTACAACTTTTGGTGAAAATAACCGTTTATCAATAACAACGGTTTTATTATAGCGCAGTAAAACTAACAGAAATGAAAAAAAAACGCAAGCTTTTTTTTCTGAATACTATTTTACGATAGGCTTATGCCATCATAGCTGTTACCGATAGTAGCAATAAATAAGAAAGAGTAAAACTTTCTTTGAATATTACCGAAAAATTGCTAACTACAGGCTAATGGTTGAACCTGTTGTGAAAAGTGCAACTTTTTTATTCAAAACAGTAACATTATTATATTATTAACACCAACATAAAGATTCTGCCGACAAAGAAACACGGTAGCTTGTATTTCTAGAACGTTGTTCCAAAAATAACCACTCTTTTGTTTTCCAAACCAATTGTTACTTGTGAAACGACTATTTTTTACGGAATAAGTACAATACAATTTTTATGTCACCGTAACGGGTAAAAACTGCTATGAATATGTAAACGGTGTCGCGTCAGAACATTTGAATGACTGAAGCGATGTGGCTTGTCAAATTTTTCCTTTGCCAATTACTCAGGCTGTTCGGGAAAAACAAAATAATAGTAAGAAAAATCACGCAAGTTTCACTGTGATAGAAATAGTATCCTCACAATGCTAAAAATACCTACAATTACCAGTTTTGTCACATTTTAGAAAAATTAACAGTAAACAAACTTTTTTTTTGCTTTTTTAAACTCCGAAACAAAAAATAGAGATGCACCGAAATTCCTTTCACATTCGATATTACCGAAGTTCGTCTTCGGCCGAATTTCGGTTAGATCTCCCAGAACGTCGGCCATAATTCGATAGCTTAAATAAATTTAAATAAGAAATGGAAAAGTCTAACTCAAGTAATTTAAAAATAATATCTTGATCAAATGATGACTTGTAAACCAATAAGTATAACGTGAATGTTCGTTTATGTTTGTTTTTATTTTCCTAGACAAAAAAAACGAGTTTTTTTATGCTTAATAGGCAAGGCGTTTAACCGCAATCTCGCCTGATGGAGAGCAATGATGAGGCCTAGGATGGTACACGCCTGCCTAGAAGATGCCTGTTCAGTCTGAACTTGAAGATGTCCAGATTATATTGGTCCGGGAAAACAGACCTCGGCAAGGAGTTCCACTCCCTAGCCGTTCGCATAATAAAAGCGGAAGCAAATCGCTTCGTGCGAATGGGAGGAACTTCGACAACATAAGGATGAAAGCCCTCGCCGCGCCTGGCTTATTTTTTATAAAGTATATCCCGAATATACTTTATAAAAAATATCAGTTATAATACTGTCAGTATATCTGTCACTAATATCTGTCAGCAAGGTAATATAGAATTCTTTCTTCTTTGTTGTTGTTTAAGATAATGATACTTTGACTTTAAATATTTTTTATTACTCTACTTTTATCCGAATTTCCGAGACATTTGGCTTCGGCACATATTTAAACCTTACATTCAGCCGAATTTGACATTCGGCAGAACCCACATTCGGTGCAACACTAGAAATAAATCATTGAATATGTGTAATTTTGGATTTCTACCTCCTAACTATATCACATTTATTAATACATCGAGATTCCGCCCGCGACTTTCTCCGCGTCTTAGTTACTTTATAAGAAACCCACAGGAACCTTAAACTTCTGGGATAAAAAACATCTCAATCAGTGTCATAAACAATGTGTGCCAAATTTCATTCAGATCCGTTCAGTCGTTTTTGTGTGATTGAGTAAGAATCATACAAACATAACTTTAGTAGGATAGAAGCTATAGTTAAAATAGTAACTATCGGCTGCAGTATGGCCGCGTTGTTCCATACATAATTAAATTTGACTATAGTTAATATATACAAAATACAAAAAAAAAAAATACAGAGCGTGTAAACGTTTGTAAATGACGATTTATTCTCTAATTTTTAACTATGTTTCCAAACAACAGGGGCTTAAGGCACGGGAATTAACTTTTAAGGTTGTTTTAACTTTGATTCTATCACTTTCTTTGCGACAAAAGTAGAAAAATGCAACTTGTTACTTAATGAAGCATATGACGTAATTCATGTCCCTGCGTTTAAATTGAAAAAAAAACCAAATGAAATGAAATTTATAATTTACAAAGACATCTGTCTACAAGATTTCATTAGTAAAATACTTTATTATTTTCGGTTGTAAGAGTCCAGTTGAGTTCTTGGTATGTCAGTGTTTACGTTGCGTGAGTGTTCCCAGGCAGTATAGAATGTCATTCATACTCGTTCATACATATAAACAAATCAGTATACCCCACATAGGTGTAGATACGATTCAGAAGTTATAGTACGTACATATAATTATTCAGCATTATTTTCTCAGTACACCAGTATGTATATACTGTGCTGAGAAAATAATGCTGCAGACATAGGTTTATATTATCATATCTTTAGATTTAAGCATCTAGCAGTTACATGCTTAAAAATATCTGATATTTTTATAATACAAAATTTATTATTCTACTCAGATGAAGACATAAGCAGGCACTAATTCAGAACAATATTCCTACCACAATAGTATATCTCTCTCTAGTCTGCAAACTAGAGTGCTTAAACTTTTTCCGTCCGCTTCCTAGTAATGTCACCGAAATATATTATCGATATAATATCTGGAATTCGGGACCCATTGAGCCGCTGGCCGATTGTCGCCTGACCCAAATCCAACGGATGTTGCACTCTCAAAAGATGCTCCTGCAAAAAATGTATTAAAAAGAATTTGGTTTAACTCCGTAAGAGGTGTATACGGGAACAGGTGTGCGTGGAGAGGGTTTTTGTCAAATAATATTTTGGTATCTAATGTTCAATTCCGTTAAAAATAATGTATGTATGTATGTATTATATATTTTATTTACGATTATGCTATTACATTGTAATAATATAAACAATTATTAGATTGTTACATTAACAGATTTTTTTGTGTTTGCTAAAATTCTTATCAGGTACAAGCCGTTGATCTTTACTTTAATGACTATAAAATTAAACAGAGCAGTTTCGATAAAGAACATTTTTACTATTAACCTCCTAAAGGTTCCTTATGTGTGTTGTACAAAAGAACGTCGTACATTTTCTTTGTGTTTAAAAAATAGCTCCACACCACTTGTATTCCACGAACGTTCTGAAAATAATCCCGAATCGGTGCCTCATTGGAATAATGCGCAACTTTTTTGTCAGGTTCGTGCCACGCAGGTGTTCCTGCGCTTGCAGGCTGCTGCAGAAAAAAATCAAAAACCTAATAAAACACGCACTTTTGCACCAGTCTCAATGGTTGCACCGTATACATTCATAAGGATAACTTGTGTGTAACGTTTTATACGTAAGATTGAGTTGAAAAGATTCTAAAATCTTGAATTTGGTAAGCAAGTATGTATTTAGCGGGCTTTGTGTATTTAGCGGGTCTAACTTTTGACTCAGAACTTTTGATATTATTATATTATTGATGTCATAATATTATTACGCATATCAGCGGATTGCATAGAAACATCATATCGTAGAAAGTTCACAGTTAGAATCGCCTTTTGGCATACAAATATATATTGAAAATCAGTTTAATAACTTCGAACTTCTCCATATCTGGAAAACACTTAAACTCAAATCTATGCATATAATTAAATGGTAGGAAAGGCAAAACTGTACATTGAATTTTTTTTTAAAGAATACTTGGGGTGTGATCTGCAATCGATACCAAAACCAAAAATATATTCTGTCCGGGATAAACTCAAAAATTACTGCATGGATTTATTTATTTGGCACGAATATTATTAAGAAGTCGGGTCAACATAAAAGCTACATATTATCACGCAGGGGAACGAGCAGGGAACCTTTATTTCTAACTTAGTCCACGCGTACGAAATTTTAGTCCTTAGAGATATTTTTTCCGTTATCAACAAAGATACTTAATTGGTAGGGACTTCACAAATTGATCGTCTTTAAAAAACCGACCAAGTGCGTGTCGTGCCTAGTGCGTGTCATGCCACGCGCAGTGTAGGGTTCCGTAGTTGCCTGTCGCTACCACAATATATTTGAGTTGGCATCTTTATTTTCTGTATCGGAAATTAGAAAAACTAATAAATAACAATCTATAATTCTGATGTAAAATACCTAAATCAAAGTCAAACTGCGTCAAAAACTAAAATTTTTTTTTATCAATAGTTTATTCTACCAATTTGTCGGCCTGACTGATATACATATCTACACAAAATTACAGCGGTCTAGTGCTAATAGTCTCCAAGCAAAACCGGGAACGGACAGACGGACATGACGAAACTATAAGGGTTGCTTGTCAGGACTGCAGAACCCTAAAAAATAGGCGGCGCTTACATTTTTGAGGCATCATTTTATACAATAGAGTTCTAATTTCCGATTTTTCACACCTCCCACTGGTTAAGTTGTGTTTAAAAAAGGTTATGCCAATCGATTCATCATTTTATTCGTGGTATTTTGCAAAAAGAATGAGCGGAATTTCTGCGGCTTTATTCGCTTTGGTATAATATATAGGACCTACCCATCTATGATAAGCTTATTCGATAAAAAATGTTATTCTTCTTCGTACTGAATTAATTTTCTCTTTCATGGAGTAAAAAATATTGCACTAACACAAAAACGAAATAAGTAATCATTTGTTTGTACCAAATTTTATGCGATCAGTAGTTTTTGCGTGCATGAGCAACAAATTTGCAAACATACAAACTTTCACATTAATAATATTAGTAGTAGCAGGATAGGATAGTGTAGGATCTCAAATATTGACATTTGCTGCTTTCTTAT